ATTACATAACAAAACTTTAAAATAAATAAAGGTTACATAGTGTATTTACACATGAAACTTATTTACACTAATAGTTGTTAGTATCATATAATCACATCAACATAGAAATATTTTAAAAAAAATTGTTATCCATAATTAACTAATTAATATGTATTAAAAAGAATCATTGATTGAGAATAAAAATGTCATGAAAAGTAGATCAATTTGAAAAGAAAATGATAATTAATACTTGATTAAAAATGACACAGAATATATTACTGGAAATAAAAAATATATATATGTTATTAATAATTAACTAATTAATATGTATTAAAAAATCATTCACTAAGAATAAAAATGACATGCAAATTAGACCAATTGAAAAAGGAAACGATAATTAATATTTTATTAAAAATGGCATGGAATATATAAATTCTAAATATATATTGACAATTATATCAATAATTATAGTATAAATTAATTAATATGTATTACAAAAAATATTAAACTGAGAATAAAAATGACATGGAAATTAGACCAATTGAAAAATAAAATGATTATTAATACTTGATTAAAATATTAAAATGATTCCAAATTGATTCAAATGAAAAAGAAAATGGCCAGACCGTCCAAACAATAGTATAAGTAAATTGGAAAAAAAATTTGTTAATTGGAAAAATAATTTACTGAGATTGATGATAGCACGAAATGTATAAATTATGGTATAATATTTTAAGAAAAAAAGGATCCTCATATTAACCATTTCGAAAAGGAAATGGATTAACTATAGTATATATGTAAATTCAAAAAACTATCTGTTATTAAAAATTTACTGGAAATATTATAAAATTATTATTATTAATTAAATAATTCATATGTACTAAAAAATTTATTGACTGAGAATAAAAAATGACATGTAAATTAAGACAATTGAAAAAAGAAATGATAATTAATACTTGATTAAAAATGACACGCAATCCTTTAATCCTTTTAATGATTTTTTTTTTTAAAGATCTCCAAATTAACAATGTCGAAAAGGAAACGGATTAACAATAGTATATGTAAATTGGAAAAGGGTATATGTTATTAATAATTTATTAGAAAAAAATATATATTATATTAATAATTATCTAATTAATATGTATTTAAAAAAATTATTAACGGGTAATAAAAATGATATGAAAATTAGTCCAATTGAAAAAGGAAATGATAATTAATACTTGATTAAAATGGATCAGAATATATTACTGGAAATAAAGAAATATGTTATTAATAAATAACTAATTAATATGTAATGAAAAAGAATCATTGATTGAAAATAAAAATGGAATGAAAATTAGTCCAATTAGAAAAGGAAATAATAATTAATATTTGATTGAAAATGGCATGGAATATATAAATTCTAAATATATATCGACAATTATATTAATATTTATAGTATAACCTAATTGATATGTATTAAAACAATATTTGACTAAGAATATAAATGACATGGAAGTTAGCACAATTGGAAAATGTAATGATTATTAATACTTAATTAAAAATTAAAAATAATTTCAAATTGACTCAAATGAGAAAGGAAAATGGCCAGATAGCCCAAATAATAGTATAGTAAATTGGAAAAGGTATTTGTTAATTAGAAAAATAATTAACTGAGATTAAAAATGCACGGAATACATAAATTATGGTATAATATTTTGAGAAAAAACAAATGATCCCCATATTAACTATGTAGAAAAGGAAACGGATTAACTATTGTATATATAAATTGAAAAATGTATCTGTTATTAATAATTTATCAAAAATAAAAAAAATATGTTATTAATAATTAACTAATTAATATGTATAAAAAAAGAATCATTGAATGGGAATAAAAATGGCATGGTTGGAAAAGTAAATGATATATATATATATATATATATATATATATATATATATATATATATATATTTGAAAACATGAAATGATAATTAATACTTGATTAAAAATGGCACGAAATATATTACTAGAAATATTTAAAAAATGTTATTAATAATTAACTAATTAATATGTATTAGAAAAGAATCATTGATTGAGAATAAAAATGAAATAGAAATTAGACTAATTGGAAAAAAAATGATAATTAATACTTGATTGAAAATGGTAGGAAATATATTACTGAAAATATATATAAAAAATATGTTATTAATAATTAACTAATTAATATGTATTAGAAAAGAATCATTGACTGAGAATCAAAAATGACATGCAAATTAGGCCAATTGAAAAATGACATGATAATTAATACTTGATTAAAAGTGGCACGAAATATATAAATTCTGAATATATATCAAAAATGATATGAATAATTATAGTATAAACTAATTTATATGTGTTAAAAAAATATTTTACTAAGAATTAAATGGCATCGAAATTAGGTCAATTGTAAAAGATGTGATTATTAATACTTGATTAAAAATTAAAAATGATGCCATATAGACTCAAATGAAAAAAGAAATGGTCCCACCGTCCAAATAATAGTATAGGTAAATTAATATATATATATATATATATATATATATATATATATATATATATATATATATATATATATATATAAAGAATCATTGACTAAAAATAAAAATGGCATGAAAATTAGGTAGTTGGAAAAGGAAATGATAATGAATACTTGATTAAAAATGGCATGAAATATATAAATTCTGAATATATATCGAAAATTATATTAATAATTATATTATAAACTAATTAATATGTATTAAAAATATATTTGATTGAGAATAAAAATGACAATAGTATTCATAAAAAAGAAAAACATATATTCTATTAAAATAATTTAAAATTTTGAATGACAACAAATTTCATATAACATGAAAATATATATTCTAATAAAAGAAAATGAAAATTTCAAGTTCACCAATTGATATGTGGAATTTATTATTATTATTATTTGAAGTTATGTGGAATTTATTATTATTATTTTTTTGAATGCTACTGACTCTATTATATTGTAGTATCTGTTCAAATATACTTTTTCAAACTAATGAAGTACAAAGAGTTACCAACGCATCCACTAAGATCTCATGACCTCCCACATGGGAAAGGTCACTACATGCCATATGAGCACACAAAGTGTTTGGCATGTGGAATTTATTTTAATTAGATAGAATTGAAGTGTTCTATTTAATTTAATATCTTTATAATATAGATATCTTTAAATTTATTTATTTATTTTTTTGTATTTCAGTTAAAAATTTTAAAATTGAGATTATTTTATTTTATTCGAATTTAGTTGTATATATTTTCAATCTTATATCTAAATTACAGTAAAGATTAATATTTGTATTAATTTAAACTTAGAATAATGATAATTATTTATAATTGTAATGATTTATATTCATAATATAGTAATGATTTATGCTCAAAATATCATAAAATAATTAAAATTGTATTAAAGAATGTATTTTACTCAAAATAATGATAATGCATTCTTAGTTTTAATAAATTATGCTCAATATTACTATAATTACCTAATAATTATTATGATAATTAAGAAATTAATTATACAGATATTAGTATAATTGATTAATAATTATCATGTTAATTAAGTTAATAATTAAACAGATATTAGTATAATTACAATTAAATATGAGTTGTTGGATTTTTTATAATAATTACAATTAATTCATTTAAGTATGGGGGACGAGGAGAAAAAAACTAAATGCGATATGGTGAAAATGAATATATTTAAGGTATAAAAATATAATTGTACATATATTAGTATAATTGACTAATAATAATTGCCTAATAATTATTATACTAATTAAGTTAAACATTGATCATTTGATTTACTTTTATAATGATTAAAATTAAATTATTTTTCATTTTTTCCCATATTAATTTTAGTAATAATATAATTACATAAATCATATTACATATGGATCTTTTAAAGATAATTGCAGACAAATGAGTAATATATTATTCAATTAATTTAATGATACGTTTGCAATAATCTTATAATTAAATAAATGTACATGTTCAATATTAGATTTTTTTTTATAATTTTATATTCAATTTTATTATCTAAATATATAATAAAAAAAATTTATCCGTGCATCGCACGGATAATTGGACAATTATTTGCTTGAATTCAAGCAAAGATAACATAAGAAAATATAATCGATCTAAACAATTTCATCAATTACACTCTATAATATTCGATGTTATAATTTATATAATTGTATATTGATCTAAATATTCTTAAAATATTATAACAAATCAATTCCGTGCAACGCACGGGTGCAAATACTAGTAATAATAATAAGGTCAACCAAACTTATGCAATTGGAAATATACAACTTTAATTTTAAAATATTTTTTTTTTGGTACATTTGAAGTCCTCAAAGGAGGACATTATCTCACTCTTAAATTATGCGTCCGCTTCGATAAGACTAATTAAGCCCACCGGAGCTGAATGCCTGAATCTAGTCCCCAATCAATACTTTGACCAAAATTCACGAGCCAATATGCACACTGATTACCCTCTTTTACGATGTGGGAAACCTGAAACCTATGGAAACATCTGATGAGGTCAAGGCAATCTTTCACCAAGGCCACAACTGTCTCCTCTCTTTGAACTAATAAGCTTGGTATATCTACTATTTTTGGTATATCTACTATTTTTTCTAATGACAGATAATATTTTGTGGGGAGTTCCTCCAAACTATGAGGAAGTTGAGGTAGTGATTTTGCCAATTATCCAATTTGATAATTTTCAAATTAGAAAGATAAAAAAGCCTGAAGGGTAAACCTTTGAAGATAGCATGTCGGAAAGGGACTACATCAATGGTGAGAGATCAGAAACAGATTGAAGCAGAAGATATTATTCAAAATTACAGCTCATGGCTTTAGACATTGGTTTATATACAGAGGATCAATGCATGAACTGGTATACACTAAAAGGTAGATTACACTAATGCCCTTCATCCTCCAACACCCCCCGCGTAAGCTGGAGCGTGTAGATCCTACATGCCCAGCTTAGATACAAAAGAGAGAAGTGGAGAATCACAGAGATGTTGGAAGAGCTTTGGTCAGACCATTGGCAATCTGCCTTTCTTGTCCAATCCATAGGCAAAGGCAGCTGCAGTTGGTTCATTGATAATCCTAGCCATATTCAATCCAGTAATGATGCCTGCATCCTTAGTAGCTTGAAGTATGCTAGAAAAAGAAACTTTGGTTTCACCATCTTTGATCTTGACTTGTATATATGGTTGTTCATCCTTGTTAACAATTTTGTAAGGAACAAGTTTCATGTCCCTTTGCACTTCTTTGTCTTCAAACTTTCTTCCAGTAAGCCTCCTTACATCGCGTGCAGTACGCTTTAAACAACATCTCACCACCTTGGTTGGATCAATAATTCCAGCAGCCATGATCATCTTAAATCCAACACTAATTCCAAGCATTAGCATTGGCTGGATAAGCACTGCCAAGTCATAATCAATTATTGGTATGTCAATTGTGAATGCCATGAATGCCAGGATGAAGATGATCAATGAGGCTCTTCCTAACACCACAATCAACCTCCTCACTATGTGTTGCCCAATAAAAGCAGCAACTGTTGCCACGACATTTAAGAAGAGAGCATAAGGAACTGGGAAACACTTGAGAAGGTAACATTCTACAATTAGTTGCCCTACCAACTCCACTAAAACAATGCCATTAGAATCAAGGACCTTAGACTTGAAGTTGGAAGGATTTAGCTGAAGGACGGGAGAGGATGGACCGTATAAAGCAGTAACAGCTGTTGCAGAAAGAATCGTGAGAAGCAGTAATAGTATTGGTCGTGGAAGAAACGCCGGCAGTGCACTTTGATCCATTTCTCCGTTCGCCGAACTGAGGACAGTGAGTAATCGATGACTGAGAATTGAGAAACGCCTTGCTCGCAGGTTGGAGGCTGAATCACCTTTGGATGAGATCTTTCTCCACCCTTTGTACAGGCCAGTAGCCTCAAGCAGAGATACTCCAAGAGAGACTGGGATCTGTAGGCATTGCTGAACAACGAGCTCACCGAAGCCTGTGTCCAAGCAGTACTCCTCCACATAGTCAAGTAGATACACTTGCCTTCTCTCTCTGCTTCTTAGCATCCGGCAGCTCTCTCCATCCCCTTCTTCCTACTCCAATGAAATTTCATCAGAAATGTTGTGTTCTTCAGGGTATGATGAGTCTTCCGGAGCATAGGTTGACCTGCAGAATTTTTCACACATCGACGGACTATAATCGGAGAAATCCAAATCGGAACTCTCCTGGAGAATATCCGACTGAAGTTCAGAGTATGCCGACGAGTAGTCATCGAAAACCTCATCGTTTATAGACAACTTCATCTCGATTGCACTTCCGAAAACTCCAGAACTGGACTCCACACACGAGCACTGAGACGACTCCATTTGAACGTCCTTTTTCTCAATCTCGTTCTCTTTGCTCTTTACACGAGCACTCGACGCCGCTGCGGCTGAGTCGGAGGATTGCTCCATCTTCTTCAGATCGGACTTTTCCAGATCTTCTGGATGGTAGTTCCTCTGCGTGAACAGGTTCCACTGCGGAACAGCTATGGATATCGCCAAAATTGGAGATTGAGCGATCGGAATCGACGGACGAGCTCCTTCCTTCCGCTGTGGAACGGTTGTGGAGGTCGCCTGAACTGGAGATTGAACGATCGGAATCGACACACGAACTCCTTCCTTCCGCTGCGGAACAGTTGTGGAGGTCGCCTGAACTGGATTTTGGCTTCTTTGCTTCTCTCTGCAGAATCGTTGCTGAGCATCAGCATTGTTGCTACTCTGTGTAGCAATAATCCTCTGCGGATTCGGGAGAGAAGTGGTAGACAAAATACTAACCTTTACTCTTGCAGGTTTACCATCTCGTGGCAATACCAACGACCATGGCTGGGGATATTCGGGCGATCCTATAGTTACTCGTAAGCTTCCGTTGTAACGAGGCAGGTTACTGGTTTACTATAGTTTATGTTAGCCTTAATATTATTATTTAACATTTGGTATCAAAGCCCTATCAATCTCTGTCTGGTTATTTGTATTGTTGCAAAAGTTATTTCGATAATGGATATTAATCCACATATACATAGATTTTTGTATGTGTTATGTTTTCAAAATTTGACATGTGTTTTATTCTTGTTGCCGATTTTGGAGAGAGGCACCGCTTCAATTGTTTTGCATGCAAGATGAGCAGAACAGTCTGGACAACATCCCACCGAATTACGAGGGCCTCACTTTTCAGGTGGCTTTCCCCTCCGGTCGCAGTCCATCGACGGCGAGCTGGGCGATGTCAGGCGTTGGTCATTGGCGTCGTCCTCGTGATCAGTGGCGATGCGGATGTAGGAGAACCGCTCCAGCGACGCGAAGAACGCCGTGGTGACGCCGTTGAGGAGCCACATGGTCACCCCGTCGACCTTGCCGCAGGTGGGAGACGAGGAGTGGCGGACGACGGCGGCGAAACTGGAGTTGCAGCGATGTTGTATGGTCGCCACTGCTTCCTTCAGGTAGCCGTTACTCCTAGCCACGCAACTAAGGGCGAGGGCGACGGCGTAGCTATCGGCGATGGAGCTAGTTTTCTGGCCATCTCTATTTTCTCTCCTTCAATGGCGCTGGTTCCGGACGCTGCTCCTCAAGCTTCGGGCGGCGTCTTCTGAGCATGATCGACGGAACAGAGCTGCGCAGAGAGTTGCCATCTTCGCTGGTTTTCCGACGATTCAGGGAGGAAGACGAAGGATTATTACTGTACGCCTCTATTTAAGGAGCAATTTTATTTTATTTGCCTTATTTAGTTTTATACATATTAATTTTGGCATGGTAATATATTAGAATTAATATTATCATATTAATTTGACCTTAATTATTTTGGCAAATGGTAAATATTAGTAATTGTTTAATTTTGAAATAATAATGCCCTTTAGTTATTCTTTAATTTTGGCATTAAAATTTTCAAATTTGAGTTCAGATTAATTGTGACATTATTTGTGATTGAATTATTGTTATTGTTATTATAGTAATTCTTGTCACAATTAAATAATTATTATTCATTTTTTTGAGCAAATATGAAGTTTTGATTTGCTATTTGAATTTTAATTTAATTTTGAGAGTTATATTAATGTCTTTTAGTTTTCTCTCAATTTTTGCATTATATTCACAATTAAATTATTATTTAATTTTGAGCAAATATTAAGTATTAAATTTGCTACTTGAATCTTAATTTAATATTGACGTGCATATTAAATTGCTTGAATTATTACAATTTATTTAGTATTTATGAGTTAATAATATATTAATTTGCAAAATCCAAACATGCTTTGTATATATTTTAAATTATTTTATTATAAGTATACATTTAGAAAAGCATATATTAAGGTTGGATATAACATATTATTAACTCATAGCCTATATATTAAATATCATTCAATTTGGATCCTTAGGCTAATTTTGGACAATATAGTCTATTAAGACAGCTTGTTGGTTTCTCAATTAATTTTGAGCATACTTTAGTCCTATTTTTCACATGGGACTTTAAAACCTATTTTGAACAAGCTATTTAGGACATATCTTGGTTAGTATGGACCCTGGCATCGTGCTATTATTTGATTGATATTTTAATAGTAATTGTAGCATTTTATTTGATTATAACATGTTTATTAAGTTTTAATTATTACTAACTACCATATTTTATTAACGGTATTTATCGTTGGTAATAACATCAAGTTTGGATCTATTTCAATACTGGACCATTTATTATTCATGTTATAATTAACTTGTGTCATTAAGGTTCATGGGCCTGACTTAAGCAATTTTGTGCTATAATTATTATCATTGCGTGATTTTGAGTCATTAAGGGTTTAAGGATTACAATTACCATTTGAAGTCATTAAGAATTATAATTATTGTTTTGGTCATTAAGAATTATAACTATTATTTAAGTTGATTATGTTTTAATCTATTAATAGTTTTCAAGGTCTTAACGATAATCTTAAGTATTTTTCATGGCAAGCAATGTACATAGTTGATATATTGCCTTTCAAATGGTAATTTGGTTATACCTTAATTTCAGTTTCTTTATGGACTCATTATAGTCATGGTTAATTATTATGTGGTAAATTGAGATTAGTATTTGGCATCCCTTAATTACAGTTTTACATTTAATTGCAATTATCATTAATTTGCATTATTAATTACTGTTATTAAGTTTATGGGCTAATATCATGTATTACCTTTCATAATAATTATTCATTCATGTTAATCTACTATATTTGGTACATTGGTAAGATTACCCATGTCACTTCATTTTTCATTATTATTAATAATGGTAATTAAGTGTTACCAATAAACTGTTACGTACCATTGAGCGATTCAACTAAACTCTCCGTGAAGATGGGAGATTTTGGAGGCTTTCTTCTCTATCGCTGTTAGTGTTATCGATAGATGCAGTTTGCATCATTAAGGTATGCAAATCATTAATTACAGTTTATTATTATTGGTAACTACTGTTATAGCTGTTAACCAAGTCACATTTTATCCTTAAGAATATGGAAACATTAAGATATGTATTACCATGTTTGTCATTATTAAAATGTTCATAGTGATTATAATGTTCCTTATTACTATTAATATTTTAATTAATGATAACATTATTTTTTATGGCATTAAGACATGAATTGTTTCCAAATTGATTTATGTGACATTTATTTTCGGACTTAAGTTTTATTACATTTTAAAGTGATATCCAAAATGTTTTAAAGGTTAACAGTTTTAACTATTGTTTTCCATATTTAGTCTCCAAATTAGCATAATAATATTATTGTGGCTATTTATTTCTTTTTTGGTTTATTGGCATAAAGTTTTGGAGAGTGATTTTTAATCGATTCAGAATTTTGGAAAAACATGTTTTCTAGGCATTATTGAACATCTATCCCATAATTTATTTAGTATTTGAATTATGATTTTAGATGTTAGTGCCCACATTTAGTTGAGTATGATAAGTGAATGCACATTTAGTGTTTTTCATACTCTTTAAATTGTTTTATGCTTTTAATCACATTAAGTGCATAATATTAAGTTTAATTATGCAGTTGAGATTTGTGAGATTTTTATTTATGAATAAAACATATACTATGGCTTGATATTTGTGAATTCAGCCTGTTTCTCACAAATTTGATTTTATGCAATTAAAACTTTTTCACGTGGGCTTATAGTTTTTTTAACCTTTCAAAGTATATATCTATTATATTATTATTTAAATTTTGGATTTCTTTTGGTTAGAAGTCATACTAGTTTTGAATATTAATTGTATACTTGAGGTTATTGCTCATATTAAAATTGTTTTCAGTTATGCAATTTATTTAGAATATATGAGTTTAATGTTTAATTTTATGCATACTTGTCTACCGCATAATATTTTGATTTTTTACATTATGCAATTTTATTATGCCTTTAGAAATGCATATTTTAGGATGGAATTATATTAGTTCCTTATTAAGTTGGACCTATGCATAAACTTTAGTTGCGGTAGTACCTGAATTTGAGCACGTTAGTATGTTAATTTAGTTCATTGATTTAAAGCCTTATCCATAAGTGAATCTACAATTTTATAGATCTCCAAAACGATTTTACTTCAAACATGAAAACACATGACTTAGGGAAGTTTCTTGGGGAGAATACTAGTTCTATGGCCTTGGCTTAAAAGTCTTGTTGCTACTAGTCCTCTTGCGACGCTACTCTGTCTAAGGAGTTGGTATTTAACCGAGCTTCGTCTTGACCAACTTTCATGGGAGTGTTGGTCCCGATAGAATGTAAAGAGAGTCTAGAGGGGGGGGGGGGGGGGTGAATAGACTCTTTTCGTGAAATGCCCTAAACGTCACCTTTCGGTGTTTTGGCGCAGCGGAAAAGATTGATTCGTTTTAAATACTTTGCACGAGTTTGCGTAATTATGGAAACTTTCGGTATTGGTGATAAAAGGAATGATGCGAATGCAGAAAAGAAATGCGTAAGTAAAGAGATAGAAGGGACACGAGATTTTATAGTGGTTCGGCCAAACGTTGCCTACTCCACTCTTCTTCCACAACTGATGGAAGGATTGCACTATC